CGGGGCTGCGCGGGGCTGTGCGGGCCGCATCGGGTACTTACTATGTGAGGATGATGGCCACTGCGTCATTGAGCACGCTCTCCCCAAACAGAAGCGTGTACAGGTCGGGGTCCACGTGCAGCTCATGGAAAATGGCCAGCACCGTCACTGGAAGACAGACACAGCGGTGGCATGTTAGTGGGGCACAGCCCTAGAATTTTCCTTGAGTATGCGTTTCTGTTCTGCCAGTCCTGGGGCTTGAACTCAAGGCTGGGGCACTGTCCCTGAGCCTCTTTGTGCTCAAGGCTAGCGCTCTCCTGGGTGAGCCGGCTTTTTCTGAGTCATTTATTGGAGATCAGAGTCTCCTGGACTTTTCTGCCCGGGCTGGCTTTTGAACTGTGATCCTCAGATCTCAGCCTCCTGAGTAGCTAGGATGACAGGTGTGAGCCACCAACACCCAGCTTGTTTTTCTTAAATACTTAAAAAGTTTTAGTGTAAAGGTGATGTACACTTTACAGTACACCTATAAAGGATTACAGTTGCATAAGTAAGGTAATGAGTCCATTTCTGTTTTGAACAGAACGTATGTCGGGGATCTAAAAACAAAAACCATCATTGAAAGCAAGATAGATAGATGAGAATGATCGTGATCATGTACGACAATCGACTAAATCCCATGATTGAACCAGGCCTAGAATCCTGCCAGTGTTTAGCGGCTGTAAGACGGTCTCTCAGCTTGTGTAGCTGTCAGCATCCATTAGCGGGTGTTCGGAGGGAGTGGTCAGCGCATCTGCTAATCTCTTTCTCCTTGGGAGTGTCAAGACCCTACCTCTAGCCAGAGGAAAACGGTTTCAACTGGGGTTTAAGTTAACGGATTTGGGGGAGGGGGGGTGTAGCTCGACCGCGTGGAATAGAAGCAAAGTTATTTTCCAGTCAAAACAACCAAACCAAACCCCAAAGCTCTCCTATTGCTACAGCACCTGCGTTGACCTTCATTTCTGTAGCTGAAAATGACCACGAGGCTCCTGCCTGGGAGCCCCAGGCCCGGGACCCTTCCTTCCCCCCCCACCCCCCCGCCTTCCTCAGGAACGATGTCCGAGCATGGGCGCTGCGGCTCGCCAGGGCTGGCCTGGAGCCTGTGCAGGAAGAGCTCCCGCATTCCCACAATGCCTTTGGAACAAAGGACACCGAACTCGGTTCCCAAATGACATCCCACACGCCGTGGGCAGCGGATGGCTCTGCACATTCCAGCCTCGGCACAAAGCCGGGCTGTGTGTCCCCCCGGGGGGAGGAGGAGCGGGGGAGGACCTTTGGTAGCTGGAATACGGTGAGTCAGGGAATTGGTCACCCACTCCACTGCTGAGCTGGGGACTTGGAACAACACCACACAGCGAATTAGCGCACTAGCAGGGCACACACACACACACACACACACACACACACACACACCTTCCTCGAGAACAGCCCAGGAGGAGTGTGGTTATCAAGTGGGTGAGAAATGCTACGGAATCACTGGAGAGCTCTGGGAGAGGAGCTGCAGCAGCCACATTGTCCCTCCAGGTCCGGGCTGGAATTCCAGCATCGTTCCGAGTCTGTCTTAGGGAGGGAGTCTGTGCGCGGATGAGATTTTTTGCCAGTCACCCTCTGCTGGCTGTAATCCAAGAAACACAGCTAGAGAGCCCAGGCGTTCCGAATGAGGTCCAAGAAGGGAACCACGACTGGACCTTCTTCATGATGAGGTCATTCGACCGGAGACCTTAACCCAAAGCATCCAGCACGGCTCCACGCCAAGACGCTGCTGGGTGAGTGGGAGACTGGTGCCGAATGGGTAGCGGAGAAGTCGTGGGGCTCCCTTCAAGGTTCTTGGGGCAAACTGGCTCTGAGGCCCAGGATAATGGCTTCCAAGTACAGCCCCGGGGAAACTCGGGGGTGGGGGTGGGGTTCCTGAGGTACACCCAGGGAGATGCTGAGATCAAATCCACCATGCCCTGCACCTGTTACACACATCTCCATAACCAGCGGTGTGTCCCCCAGACCGCCGGACGGGCAGCAGCACAGCAGCTGGCATGCGGGAACAGATGTGGAAATCACCTGTCTTCCACCATTCCACACCTCAGACAGCCTGGCAGCCATGCAACACAAGACTCCTCCACCTACTGAGGTTTCCTTGTCTTTAAATCTCTTTGGGAAAAGAAATTATTTATTTATTTTTTTCATGAAATACATCAGCCATAGTAAGGAGTAAACGGCTGCTATTGTAAGTCCGTCCAGTCACGTCTTCAGATGTCATGATTTCTCCTACAACGCGTATCAATAGGTATGATATCCGTAAGCAAAAACTCCTTGGGCTGCTTTCTGATGGTGATGAGTTATAAAGGATTGGGATTCCAAAAGGCCCAAGACCCATTGTCCTGAGGTATCAGCTTACTCCTTGTCTGCAGAGAACAGTATTAGAGAAGCGTGATCTTTAAGAGAAATGGGGGAAGAGTCCCTGAAATGATGGCTATAGACTTAATTCGTGTGTTGGATCCCTGTTGAGTAAAGGCTTCCTGAAGGTTAATATCATCCCCGCAGCCCCTGAGAGATAGCCAACTCCCTCTTTGGGCATAAACACAGAGATTCTTAGCGACTCCAGAAGGAAGAACATTGTTTATCATCTCCGCCAGCGCAGTTTTACTCCTATTTCTGCCCCTGATATTTTTGTATTTGTGTAAGTCCATGTTTTGAAATGTTAAGAGCTTCCAGGGAAGATGGTTTCTTCGACATATGGAGGGGTAATAAAAGCACTGGCAATCACACAGTCTTTCCTGATTTCAGTCACGGCCACATGGTGTTTGAGAGTAATCGACTTCCTTCTTTGCTTAATGGGGAAGAAGAGGCCAGGGGTGATATTGATCAGGATGCACACGGTGCTTGCACACGGATCTGTGGACTCAAAACCACTTTGTACAGCTACTCGTAGGTAACAAAAATATATATATTTTTAAAAAGCCAGAAGTATATCCCCTAGTTTTCACTGAGAGTAGAAAAGGCAATTAGAGGGTCATGAGGTTTATCAAGAAATCTATGACACGTCAGTTAGAAAGAGAAAACCCAGATCATAAACCACGGTAGGGAATATTTTCTAGGCCTTGTATCTGTAAACTCTGGATTGAAGGCAGCTGGCACGTTAGCAAACGCTTTGAAAATTCCCCCAAAGTACCTACGGCGTGAATGTTCTAAATTTAACACTGGCGAAGAACATAAACATTTAACAAAGGCCCAATTTTCTCACCAATGGGGTGTAATGAGCCGTGGTGCGGTTTAATGGGGGAATCTGCGGTCTTCCTGCTTTCTGAGGGAAGATGGCTCACACGGCCGCACCAGTGTTCTATAATCAAGACCATTACTTAAGCATTCTGTGATTTCTAGAAATGAAAATGGCAGTCGAGTGTTTGCCTACAAAATCATAAAGAAAAACCTAGTGGAACAAAAGAGCAGTCTGAGATAGGGGACGGGTCGCCCAGAAATCAACACCTGGCGGTACACACACACACACACACACACACACACACACACACACACCCAGTGGCGCTCATGACATGTAACAAGTGTAAGGACCATCAAGATCGTGGTGGGCAGAAAATAAGGAGGTTCCCACGCAGATCCTTCTCCTTCTATAACAACCACAGCAACCAAAAGCGACGAAACAGACACCCAGTGTCACCCTCTCCCCCTCTGCAGATGAAGAGCGAGGAGGGACTTCACAGAGCTGCTTCAGCACGGAAGGCAAACACGCCTGCTCTGCAGCTCACTCAGCAGAGCCCGGGAAGAGTCAGGGCTGGGCGTCTGCGAGACCCACTGAGCAAAGACAGGAAGAAGGGGGTTGTGCCAGAGGCTGGATACTTGTGGCAGTGGCCGGTGTGAGTATGGGGGGGGTAGAGCTTGGGGCACCCACTCATCCCTCTGTGGGAGTCTCCCCATCCCCTGGCTTGGGGCCAACACTGCCCCGTCCACGCATCCCAGGAAGAGGCCAGCACCGTGTCCTTGCCACAGGAAAGGGGGGCAGGAAAGAGGTGGACCAGCCATAAGGAAGAACAAAATGGCGCCCCTTTGAAGGAAACCGGATGGCCCTGGAGTTCATGGTACACAACGTGAGCCAGGTTCAGCGCAGGGGGCCCGTGTTTTCTCTCCTTTGCAGAGTTTGGAAGGGGAGGGCGGAGGAGGACAAAGAGGGTGAAGTACGTTGTGCCCATGTCGGAAAGGAAACCCACTGAAAGCTCTGAAGAAAAAATAGAGGGAAGGGAGAGGGGAAAGCCAGAGCCAGCCCGTCCAAGCTCAACACGCAGACGAGCAAAACCCTACGGTGAGCGGACGGACAGCTGGGCCACCTTGGACTCCTCAGCGTCACCTGTGAGATGAAATTGGCGCCGTCACAAACCATTGTGTTTGTGGGAGATTTAGTCCCACGGCCCCTGAGAACAGATATCCCCAGCTCCTTCAGTAATGGTGGGAGCTGAGCACCCAGACTTCTGACTCTTCAGCACACGCGTTCCTGGGCACGCCTGTCCTTGGTGAACCGACATGAACTAAGCACTTCCTGTGTGTCTGACCCCGGAAACGGAAGCGGTGTAGACCACGCCATTCTCTAACAACCAGCGTCCATACATACCATTGCTCTTCCTGTCTGCACAATGACATGGTTGTGGAGCCTGAGGCTTTTGGTTTAAGTTGTGATTTATCTCATTTGCAATGGAAAAAAAGAAATCTCTCGTTTCAGAGAATAGAATACTGAAGAGTCCAACCACCTCTGCAGCAGTCAAACAAGGTCAGGCCAGGAGAGGAGAAGAAAGCGTTCCCAGAGGTGCTGCGTGACATCGGATACCGTGCGGGAGCTAGCTCCGTCCTGCCTGGAATGACCCTCTCCAGCCAGCCCTTGCAGACTGGAAAGCACGCATCTTCCAACACGAAAACCAGACTGTTCACAACAATCCCCCAAGAAGTAGCCAGCCAGCACTCTTTCTGATCCCTTTGGAGAAAAAGTCGATAATACACGTGTTTGCCGAGGCCCTGCTAGCTGCTGAGCAGCCACAGACAATTAATTCTGTGTGCTGATGAGGGAGCGGACAGATGAATCTCGAAGATCACAGACTGCGCCGTGAGCTCTTGAGAATTGGCAGTTGCTGCCC